GTGGACTTTCAGGGTAGGGTGGGATATCCCCTCCATTTTGCCTTCAACTTGGAGAGCTTTATTTGAGCTTTAAAGTTGATTTCAGAGAAAACCAGTGGCACTATCGTATTTCTCGCGAACTTTTGCATAAGAATTAACAGTCAAATCGCAAAGTCCTCACACATGCAACATCTCCATTGGGAACTACTATTTCTAGCTTTTTTAGTGCAACAACGTATGTGCCGTAAGTTTCCCAATGCAGATAGGTGCTTCAAGAGATGAGCTAGAAATGACAGTCCCTCATTGCACAATGCAGACGGAGAGTGCTGCCCTGCTGCCATTTCAATTAATTATGGTGTCCATAATCCTTGGAGTTACTCAATTCTGGTCCTCGATTCCTAGCCTCCAGAATTGTGGGGATCAGTTCCCCAATGAAAATATGGGATTTTTTCTTCCTCCCACTGTCCTTCAGACTCTCGTCAGAAAGACTACATTTTTATTCAGAGCAAAACTGTTAATTTTAACACGTTTCGGGTATCTCTTTAGCGCTGAAGCAACATAGACGTAGAATTCCAAAAAAGAATGGTCTCGCAGCGGAAACGCAAAAAATTCCCATTGGGTGATTGTCTAATTTTCTTTCCTCCATCCGGGACCAGATTAGCGGGGGTGCCTCCGGTCCCACGGGCCCCCCTGAACGATTTTTTCAGACATTCCACATCCGCAAGGGATACTTGACGTCTAATAGACAAATTTATAGAGACTTTGAGCCTGGAATTTTGTAAATCAAGGATCCCTAGTATTTAAGGGCCTAATGGGTCCTTAATGGGGGTCCGGTCCTCAAGTTTTAGGATTTGGGGCTTCTCATGACCAGCATCCCGAGCCCCTCAGTGCCAATCTGCCCCTGCGTTCATATGACTCCCCCGCTTCAGTTTCAGACCAGTGTAAACAAACATGATGGTGATCAAATTCTGGACGAGACGAGTCTTTCAAAGGCGAAAATAAGTTCTGTTGAAAATGTTAATTATGGCGAAAACATTCTTTTTATCACAAGTACCGATCATAATCCAAGGAAAAACGAATTTCTCTGGATCGGGGTGAATGATGGTTCCAAGCACCCAGGCCGAGTGGCAAAGCAAGTTAAAGGCATTTGAAGGGGGGCGGGGGGAGGCCGGGAGGGTTCCGCGAGTCCCCCTACGAGATTTGTGAGAGGCAGAAGAAAGATGGAAAGGAACAGCTCACGCGATCTGGCGGATAAACGGAGAAACTACTTCGGACGCGAGTCGTGCAGTGGCGCTCACTGGCGTGGACTTTTAGAAGCAGAGACACTCCGTCGTCCGTGGCACAACAAATCGACGGCCGACTTCGAACTTCACATCGATAAATCCACACAACATTGCACCGGAGTCTTACTTGATATTGATTAATAATTATTATGTGCACCCTCGAGCTATCATTTTTGAAAACGAAGACCTCAGCTAAAGTGGAATTGGTTCAAAAATACACCGCCTAAATGAGGCATGAACGTGCAAAATACAGCCGATTTTCTTTCCTCCAAAAGCAAATTTATTATACTTTAATAACTGTTTGTCACAATACACCTTCACAATTAATTAGCTAACTGGGGCATAATTGAGGGGGAGTAACTTTCAGCTTTTCGTGTACACTCATTCAACTTATACCACTTACTTTGAAAATTTTAAAATCTTTCAATTGACTCATTTGGTGAGCGGTTCATGTTTTTAACAATTCTGTTTGATGTGAAAGTGACTGCAGCCATTCTGCATGGCATTACAAATTGTCTCAGTATAAACTGGGAGAATTACAATTTCATTACGAAAGAATAATTCAAAATACCTTCTTCTGTAGACAGGGCCGGACTGGCTAAGGCAGCTAGGCAGCGATCGCTGCCTAAGAATTGTCGGCTCAGGGGCCCCGACGGGGCCCCTGAGCCGACAATTCCTGAATTTATTCTTCAATGAATGAAATGAATCCATGAAAAAGTGAAAAATCCTTGAAAAAAATCCTTGAATTTATTCTTCAATAAATGAAATGAATCCTTGAAAACCCCTCGTTTTTTTCAGTCCTCGAGGGTTTAACTCATAACACCTTCTCTGAGGCCCCTACGGCCCGAAAAAGGTAACCTCAGGGGCCCCTGAAAGGGCCCCTCAGCGATCGGAAAATATGAGCTTCAAGGGCCCTGGAGCGGCCCTCGAAGCTATATTTTCCCGGCCTCTAACGGTGTTTTACTTTAAACAGCATGACTCTTTCTCTGAGACCCCTATAGCCCGAAGAGGGTCACTTCTGGGGCCCTTGAATATATGTCAGCAGGGGCCCCTAACCCTGGGCTCGAAAAAAAGAGTTTCACTTTCAGGGGCCCTTCCGGGTCTCGAAAGCTCTTTTTTCCGGTCTTTGAAGGTTACTCACTTTAAGATGACTTCTTTTTGGAGGCGCCCCTACTGGCCCTGCAGCCGGGAGAAGGTAACTTCAGGGGCGGGGCCTCTGAAAAGATACCAGCAGAGGCCCATGCGTAAAGTTTGAGGAGGTTATGTGCTTCTTTATCAACAAGAGGAATCGCCGAATTTTTCAAAAAATATCTAAAAAAATTGGTGACATTTTCGGAGGCGCTATTTATCAAATTTCAATGCGAAAAGAGCGTAAAACTTCTATTTTCAGGGGTTAAATTTTCAAAATTTTCCGGGGGAGGACCCCCCGACCCCCCCCCATTCCTGGGGGGCGACCCCCCAGACCCCCCATAGGGGCCCAGTTTTTACGTCAGGGGCCCCAAAATCCTAGTAGCTGCCTAACTTTTTTTACGCCAGTCCGACTCTGTCTGTAGATGCCAACTGAGATGCTCTCTTCAGAAAGAGACTTGGGTTCAAATGATATACAAAGACTTATCAACCCTGTTTATGATCCTGAAAGCTTGTAGATTGAATCAAGTTGTCCAAAATCTCTGTGATTCATTCATATCAATTTTATTCTTGAATGGCATTTGACTTGAAAAGAAGAGAGGTAGGAATTTTCAAAAGCATCGTAGAATGTGGAGCACAATATGAATAACAGTAGTTTCTGAAGAAATTTCATGCCAGGAGTGTTTTTTCTTTTCTCTCTCTCTCTGCCTCCCTATGGAAAACTGATGGGTCCAATTTTTTTCTCGATATTTCTCTTTCATTGCTTGAAGAACTATCTACAAAATCTTCATGCTGGGTAAAATCCAAATGCAAAATGAGTCCAGGAGAAACAACTGATGTCATTTCCTAAAGGATCAAAAGGTATACCTTTAAGGTAAGCCTGATTAAAAATCAAATAATATCCCATTAATAAACCCTGTGAGGAGTGCTCCTATCACAATAAGACCAGAGTTACTGGAGTGATAGCAAATCAGAGTATCTTCAAAAAGCATTGAAAAATATGGACCAATTAGAATATTACACTCTGTTTCAATGTAAAAAAAATATAACACCTCACAAATCAATGGAAAGCCTAAGTGCACTTTTTTCGCAAAAAAAATTATTTGAAGGAGCCATTGCGAAAGTACCTGGACATGAGATATCATGGTAATATTTGAAGTCACAGGCTAGGGTATATTTTAAAATGATGACAACCTGACACAAACTTATAGCGTACTGTTTAAACTATGAAAGACTGTACACTGAGTTTGGATTAATCTGACGAAGAGAGTTAGATCAAGCTGTGTTCAGTAAAAATACTTTTGCACCAGTTAGGTAAGTACATCAATAAAAAATGTAACTTGACATGCTTGGTGCTTTCTAATTTGCCATCTACCTTTAACAACTCTTATATTAAAGAGAATAAATTTTAGTACGATAATTGATAACATTTGCACAATAGTGAATGTTTATTCTTTGATTCGTGAGGGAAAGTGATAATGTTTGCTGAGTTTGGATTGATCTAACGAAGAGAGTTAGAACAAGCTGTGTTCAGTAAAAGTATTTTGGCACCAGTTAGGTAAGTACATCACTGAAAAATGTAGCTTGACGTGCTTGGTGCTTTGTCATCTATCTTTTACAACTCTTCGATTAGAGGGAATAAATTTTTGTTCATTATATGATGGTAATCTTTTGCACACGAGTGAAGTGTTCATTCTTAGATTCATGAGGGAAAGTGATAATGTTCGCTGAGTTTGGATTGATCTAACGAAGAGAGTTAGAACAAGCTGTGTTCAGTAAAAATACTTTGGCACCAGTTAGGTAAGTACATCACTGAAAGATGTAACTTGACGTGCTTGGTGCTTTGCAATTTGCCACCTATCTTTCACAACTCTTCGATTAGAGGAAGGAGAATTTTAATAATATTTGATGGTAATATTTCACTTGAGGATGAAGTGTTAATTCTTTGATTCATGAGAGACGGAGCTGATGTTCACTGAGTTTGGATTAACCTAACGAAAAGAGTTAGATCAAGCTGTGTTCAGTAAAAATACTTTTGCACCAGTTAGGTAAGTGCATCACTGAAAGATGTAACTTGACGTGCTTGGTGCTAGGTGATTAGTCATTTATCTTCTACAAAGTCTCCCTGGAAATACTCCAGGCAAAAAATACAAAACTGAGAAAAACGGACGACAAAGATTTTGGCACGAACGAATTCAACTGCTTTCAGGTAGTTGATGCTGAGAGGATATAAAAAATTGAATTCCTTGTAGAGATGACTGTTTCATGACAGTTCCAACTTCACTAGGAATTTGTGCATGATAGGTGAAAAAATTTTGGAGGGATTAGCCTGATGTAGTAGATGATGAATAAAAAATTGGCTAGCCCCTAATAATTAGCAACTCCCTTTGCGACTACTTCAGAAAATTGCACGGTCTACAATGATCTAGTCCTTTTTGAAAATGTTTACACAATTCCAAAACGTTTGCTTTGGCGGCAGATGAGGCCAATTCGAAATGGGAAGAGGAGAACTGTCTTTACCTCTGGAGCTTTTAGATTAGAGAATAATTCCATGACAAACTGATACCAAGAACTATTACTTAAGACATTTTTAAAGAAAATAGACCTTACCTGTACATCAAATGAAGGCTGCATTACGCTGGGAGATTCTTGTGGGGGTCCTGGCTGTTGTGGTGGTCCAGAAGTTTGAGTTCCTCCGCTGTAACCTGCAAAATTTGAATGAAAAATAAAAGTCCATTCTACATTGTGGTTAAAATGAAAATACAGTGTAGAATAACCATTTTCTCTTTTCTTATTCATGATAAGAGGGGTAGAAGATGCAGGAAATGTTGATCGAAGCTCACGATTAGCTTTCAAAAAAAGAGCTCTACTTATAAAGAGATTCTACCAATACAGTTAAAAAACTACAGGTTGTAACAAAGCTGCTTCTAAATTTCAATATGATTAAACATAGGTAACAAGCAACCAGCTGACGGGTGGGCATTAAATTGATGCACATAAAAAAATTATGATTATTTCCTTTTTTGTTTGTTGTTCCTTTCATATGCCAACTACTGTTGAATTAAAATTAAAAAGTAAACAGAGAAACTAGCGAAAGGTATTGATTCACACTTGCTTATTACTAAGAATCCGGTAGTTGGTTATCAGCTGCTATTCCTTCAAAGCTAGAGAAATGTCATCACAACTACAAGTCGATGCTTTCCGATAAGCAGTGCAGTGAGGGTGATTAGTTATTGCGATTTCCTTAAAAATTTTCAGGAGTGAAGTTTTCTACCAAGAATGACATGGATTCTACACCCATCAACCATCACTCACTGGCAGTTCTCTGATAGAAAACTCTTCCGAGGAGCAACGTGAATCAATGGACTCCTACTTGTCATTTAAAAGAGACCAGTCACATGCCTTCTGCATGAAAGATTTTATAGACTATTTTTGGGCAAATAAAAGAACTAATATTCGCTGACTTTTTGGAAAAGAATTAATTAATCCTTCTCAACCTCAGAGAAAAACTCTTAGGGAACGTCAAATACAAGTCTGTCTGGTTTATGCACCTGATTGCATCTGGTTGTAGCTGATAACATTACACCACATACTTTTCCTACAATCAAGGAGGTCGTCACAAAATCAGGCTCATCAGCACAGTGTCTATGCAGACTTGGCTGTGCCTCTTTCATCATAACATACCAGGGCATACCATAGCATACCAGTGACAACTTACTGGTTTTCGGTAAATTTAGATGAAACTTTGATGAGTTATCATACAGTTCATCACTACGCCAAGGCAAAAAAGTTAGATGATTCAATAAAGTAGGAACTGAGATATTCGCCATTGAACATGCTACTTGTTGTGCGGTAATGCCCTGACCTTACAGGCAGTAAGGTCTGTAAAAGCTCAGCTACCCCAAATACCATACTCTTTCCATGCACTTATCATATATTCTGTCTCAAATTTGATCGACTTGGCAGGGAACTTGTCTATATCTTGAAATGAAAGGCATCACACTTTGCACCCAAAGTTATTCTCTATCTTCCTCTGCTCAACCTTCCTCATTTAGCCTCCCCAATTCTTCAACAAACATGGGCTTTGACCTGATGATGTTTTTATGATAACTAATTAAAGTTCCATCAATACTGAATGAAGGACAGTAAGCTTCTACTGATGTGCAGAGTTCTTTGAAGGTAGGTAATTTTAGGGTGTTCTATAATGCTTTGACGTTTTAGACGTTGAATTTTTAATACCTTGAGGTGGGGTATGGAAAGGATGCGAAAAGTCTGCTGCTGTCAAGTGATGGTGTGGAGGAGGTGCCATTTGTACTTGCTGCCCGAGCAGTGTGTCACCTGAATCTATAACCATCATTCCACCAACACCATTTTTAGTCAAATCTTCATCTGAAGGAGATGGTTGTCGACTCCCAGGAGTGCGGCTGAAACATAATGCAATAGTTAATTATACAGAGATAAAACACATATTACACTTGCACAAGGCAACGATCGTTCCCACTTGATTTTCTTGGTCAATATGAAAACCAAGTGCCTTGAAAGAATGAAAAATTTACACGCTCAGGATTTCTTATCATGAAGTGTTTAGTCTGAAGACCCTTAAAATCTGAAGTGGAATCCAGCAGTTTTTGCTTTGCGGAGCTGTGAATATGCATTGTTCTGCATCACTTTTTCGATAGAAGTACAACTTACTTTTTTAATCTAATTCAGCAACAGCTTCTTCTAAATTTGTTTGAGAAAGAGAGGAAAAAGAGCATCTCTGACAGCCATGCTTCAAGCAGTCATTCTACTCATCTTTGAGATTCCCTTTTCAAAACTCAATAACAATATTTCACTTTAGACCTGCGACTTTTCTATAGTAGGTGTGATTATTCCTTCATCTTTTCATCATGAGGTTGGAGGAAATCCAGATGGGAAGGGACCTCCAATTGAAACGATAACTTTTAGAATTAGGATGGAAATGGGACATTTAAAAGAGAAGTGTAATCATAATTTAAGAATGGAAAGATTATAGAAATTAAAGCTCAGTTAAGTGTTTTTCCAACTACAGAACAATACGAAGTCCGTCTCGAACAAACATACGTACTGTTCAGTACCTGTCAGTCCACAGCCAGACTGATTTCTGGTCCCCTAGACACTCATCATCGCTACATCCACTTGGCCCGCAAACCAAAGTTTATTTTTACTATTCCCCAAAGTACTAGACCTAAAATTTTTAGAAGTGGCACTCATATTGCAATCTCTCTTTTATTCATACAATTTTCTTACCATGAGAGGCAAGTCTACATCCTCCTCCAGCAACAGGAGGGATGGGTTTTACAGAGGTACAGGTTTACCTTTTCACCACAAAAATGCAATATCTCACCAGCTGTGTATATTGTTATAATTTAAAAGTTCTAGTTCTAAAAATTGTGCAACTTTTGAGTCCAATCAATGAACCTCACTTGATAACACGTCTTCTTCTTCTTCTTCTAATTTTTGACTAGGGCTGTGACCCTGTTTGTCTAGCCTCTAAATTAATAAGGAGCACTCTGATAACACGTCAAATACTAAAACCCAATGGATTGACAGTTCTAGGGCTAATTTGGCCAAGAAAAGCCTCTATTGGCAATATATTAATGTAATAGGTTCTCTGTGGAAATTGGTCCTTACATAGATATTCGCTCCTGAAGAATGTGGCTGTTAAGTGAAGTTATCCCGGAGTAAGGGTGGCCGGCAACGGATGAGTCACTGAAAACAGAGGAGAAGACGGCATTGATTATTTGATTGCTTGGAGAAAAGAAGTTAACGGAAATTATCGAACCTGAGAAAATTACAATTATTCACAGAAAGTGAGCCTCACAATTAGTACTCGGAGCAGAAAATTTACTGGGCTCAATTGATAGCTTGAGAGTGGTGTATCCCACTTTATCTGATGGTAACTGTGCATCATCAAATGGACATTTCACTCTTCAAAACTGATTAGTATTGTCTCTGAAGAAGGATAGCTACTCAGAAAGCGCGTGATCCAGCCACTCAATAATCCAAGTTTCATCTCGGACGAACTCTCAGACAGTTGAGCAGCTGCCAGCCCACATGTTTGGCTGGTTTCCGGACCCCTGCGCGAATCATCATGGCAAGCACTGAATGTTGTCTTAGCAGTGCTAAACTAGCAGTCCAAGAATTAATTATTAATTAAAACAGTTAACTGATGATTGATAATCAATTCTAACGTTTTTGAAAACAACCTACTCCTTCTTCAACTAATCAGGCCTTTGAAGATTACACACTTCTCTGGCCGGCTATTAATAAAAAATGCCAACATACAAAATGAGTGTTTATTTGTACTGGTTGGAATTAAATAAGAATCTTTGTAAGACTTTTTCTTTACGAGAGGAGATGAGTTTCTGACTCAGATAGCGCGTGATCCAGCTACTTAGAAGCCCAAGCTTCATCTCGGACGAACTCTCAGACTACTAAGCAGCTGCCAGCCCACATTCTTGGCTGGTTTCCGGACCCCTGCGCGAATCATCATAGGAGAGACAACTGACTACTCCGTTTACATTGGTTATAGAATAATAGGATAGAGGCGAATGATCAACTCTTCGATAAAATGTCAATAATTTGTGATTATTTCGGAAGGAAATCTTACTTTCCCAATAACCTGTGGGTTATAATATTCAAATTTCAACACTCATTTCACAAGTTAAATTTTTTATCGTTGAAATGAAAAGCTGTCTCAGACACGGCGTGACTTGCATAACATGTAACAGCTAGAAAGTCATAGCGAGGTGCAGAATTAATGTTGCAGTTAGGAAACGGCAAGACTGATAAGGATTCATCAGTATGCAGCTGATACTGCCATGGGGACTAGAAATTTTGTGGGATGAAAATGACTTTTACTTTTATTATTTACTTTTAATTTTAAGAGTTAGATCTCTCTTTTTCTCTTTAAGAAGTGAAGCTGTCAAGACAACATACTTTAAAACTTTATTTAAAATAAAGTGAAATTTATTTGAGTTCATGACATCTTTAAGAGAACATAAACAACTGTTTCAGACACGGCGTGACTTAAGTAACACATGAACGCTAGAAAGTCATAGCGAAGTGCAGAATTGATGTTGCAGTTAGGAAACGGCAAAACTGACATGGATTCATCAGTATGCAGCTGATACTGCCAAGAGGACAAGAATTTTCCTGAGGTTGAAAAAAATAAGCTCTCCTAGAGATGTCAATGTTTTTACTTGTGATTTTAAAAGTTAGCTCTTAGTTTCTCTCACTGAAAAATGGTACTGTAGGGCAATAAATTAAGGAGCTAAAATTAAAATGTCATAGAAAAATTTAATGAGTTTTAAATAATCTTGTAGACATTTTGAAGACACCAAGTACTGTATCAGACACGGCGTGACTTGAATAACATGACAGCTAAAAAGTCATAGCGAAGTGCAGAATTAATGTTGCAGTTAGGAAACGGCAAAACTGACAAGGATTAATCAGAATGCAGCTGATACTGCCAAAAAGAACAGATTTGAACTGGAAGCAAAATCTTTTGCTCCTGTAACACTGTACGATTACAGTATCACAGATTCCAGATACAAGTTCTACTAAAACCTCTGATTTTCAGCGAGTCAAAAATCTACTTACTTGAAAGTTTTGTCGTCGTCAAGAACGGTTCCATTCTGCACAACCACGATGCCTCCATTCTGCTGTACAACTGTTGTGCCACAGTTACCGTTTTCAACAAGTTCTTTCTGCCCTTTGTTTTTGTCATCTTTTTTAACACCTTCCACGCCTCCTTCATTGTTCTGGAAAAAAGAAAAAGAAAATTGAAATTTTGTCGAGTGGAGAAACGTTTCAAAAAGCTGAGGCACTATACCTTAATGCAAGCTAAAAATAAAAGTGAAAAGTTAGAAAATGCATGAATCCATCCAAAAATTGAAAACAGTTTACTTATTCAGTCCTACTTTATTCATGTTCCACTTGTGCGGCTTTTCAGGCAGAGAGTGGTCATAAGTAATTCTCTTATCACTCAAAAGAGAACGATAGATGAGCTTGATGATGACAGAGTAACTAAAATCATTAATTTAATCATTTCTGTAATATCAACAATTTTTTTTCCAATATCAATATTTTAATTTTTTATAGCCATAAGAGTAGGTACAAAGAGATTAAAAATGGCTCCTTAAAAAATGTATCAGTTTCACAGCATCCGTTCATGCATGTTGCATCGATAAATGGATAGAGGAGAAATGACATTGCTTTAGAATGCTGTCGTAGAGCTGAGCTGATGGCCTTAAAATCAGTGGCTTTCGAAAAGAGAAGCCAATGAGATGTGTAAAATTACTTGTAAGCACTTCCAGGATTCCACCATACTGTTAAGACTCCTCAAATTTCTAAAATTCATCCTGAAGACGGATTCTTCTTAGTATTCTACAGTAGACTCTGGATTATCCGGCTCCGTATTATCCGGATCGATTTTGCAACCGTGTAACTACGTACGCATTCCGATAAGTGGGCGGATCCGCGGAGAAGCGGTCGCAGGGCATATTGGCGCCTGCAAGGCTGAAGCAATACTTCACGCATTGCGCCAAACAGTGAGGTCGGCGTGGAACGCATTAGCGCCTACTAGATTGCATAAATACTTCTCGCATTACGCCAAACGCAGTGCAGTCAGTTAGTTAGCCAAAAACGCACATTAGCAGCTACAAGACTGCATGAATACTTCACGCATTGCGCGCTTTAATCGTTGTATTGTAATTTATCGTTGTCGGCTACCATTCACAATCACCACTGAGTCGTTCAGTTTGGCGTTAACCTTTTAAATTCGTGTTGGTAAGTCCATGATGTATACATGATAAGAATACTGTGGTGTTGGTTGGTGGTGTTTGTGTTTACTATATTGTCCGGATTTCTTTTTCATCCGGATCGGGCCCGGCACCAAATAATCCGTATAATCTAGAGTCTACTGTATTAATATTTTGCCTGTCGGGTTACTATCACCATGTTAAAATTATAAAACTTTACAGTCAACATAAAATTGTCTTGACACGACTGCTATTCTGCCAGAGCCCACTGTAAAGGAACCAGGTTCCAAGGAAACAAAAAGTAATTACCAAAACTAGTCCGCGCATCCTGGCATCAAGATGGTCTTCTCTCTTCGGCGAAGTACTCAATACGTATTCGACCATTTTCACCCCGAGGCCGCTGGTCTCGGATGAGCGTGGTGATAAGATGTTACTTGCTACTTCGCTGCCCGGAAAGCTGCCCGATCTTCTAGCCACCATCATAGGTTGAGAGACAGTGTGATCTGTAAACAGAATAACAAAATATGATTACAAAAAATAAGCGACCGAATGTAGAAACGGAGAACGAGTACGAAAAACATCTAAAGAAAATTATTTGGGCAGGGAATAAAATCAGGAAACCTACTGAATAAAATTCAGATGAATTCTTTCAACGAAATGCATCAAAATCAGAGGCAAAACGGCGGTTGCGAGTTAGAAAAAATCGACAAGGCGCCACGATATTCAAGCCTACCTAATTTTTAGGCGCCAAAGCTCGATTTTGAGGCGCATGGCGCCCAGGGAAAGCGGAAAGGTAGGGTTGTTGACGGCTGCTTAGTCTGCGAAGTTGGTATAAACTGGATTGCTCAGCTGCAAGTTTTCAAAATTGCTCGGATACCGGTGAGGCTTCTATTCGTCCCTTATCCAAGCGAGAAGAATGACATAATTTCTTTCAATGCTACCCATGGGAATCATTGAGCCACACGCATTGCTTTTCCGCGACGACGTAGCACGGACAGCGTCCATTCCCACCACGGCTCGAAACTGAGCTTTTTCAGGACACTCCGGCACCGCGGTGGAATCCGACGGAGCGGCGCACACTGGACCAAGTCGAGGAAAAGTCGGACAAAATCTGGAAACTTTGAACTTTTACATCTTCCAAAATAAGAAAGTTAGATAGTTCCATTGATTTTCAGGATTGCCACAGAATTTAGAAGATGAAATTCCCTGATTTCCTGACTTATTTCAGTAAATTTCCCTGACAATTGAAGATAAATCGGATGGTTAAAAGAACATAATTTGAAATAAGTTTCCACGCAAAATTTGTTGTTCGAAACGTTAAACCTATTCGAGAAGGCAAATAAAAGTGACTTAACGATTTCACCCCGACATATTCGACATTTTCCATGACATTTTCGACATTTTCCAGGATATTTCCTGGTTCACCCCGACTTTTTAACCGTGTTCTGCCTTTCCCGGGCGCTATGCGCCAAATGCGCCTAAAAATCGGGAGGGCTGGGCCATCGTGGCGCCTAAAAAATTTGGCAGATTGAACTGATGAAGCGCTCTCTAGACGCACCGTTCGCAGCCAGGGAGCTATTCATTCGCCATGGCCCGTATGCAAAAATTTAATTTGGCTCCTAAAATATAGTAGATGGCTTTTAAAAATTGGGCTATCCGGCCAAGGTGGTTCTTAAAATTTACAAGGGAAGGCAGAATACTGCATTTTAATATTCCCTGGCATTTCCCAGTGTTCCCTGACTGTGTCAACCCTGGTTTTTTCGTGACATTTTCATAGAGAAACATCCCTCGAAATGGAATTTGCGACGGAATAACATCAAAAGAGATTTGAGCAAAAGTTGTCATATCCGACCTCTCCTAAACGCTCGTTCCACTGTGCGGCGATTGGTGGAGGGGGCCGCGGCCGCGCGGGACGGCAAGGTGCGACGGGTGGCGCGGCCGGGTATCGGCTCGCCGTTCGCGGTTCGGTTCATTGACAGAGGAAAGGAGGAAAGGAAAGAGAAGCAGAAAAACCACTTTCAATGTCATTACCTCCATCTTGACTCCGCTACTCCCGCCGCGCGCCGCGCCGCGCCGGCCGCGTCGAGCCACCGCACCGCCGCAATAATGCAGCACGGCTCACGCTTCAGACGTCGTCCACGTCCGACGTCCCCTTCCCGGTTCGGACCCGATCCCATCCCCGATCCGTTCACGACTCCCGCAACGCCACACAGCGGGTCGAGTCAATGGAAGAGATCGGACAAAATTCGGAAAAAAATCCTGATTTTTTTGCGGAGAAAAATTAACGGACGGATAGCGGATAATTGACGGAAAATAAGGGAACGGCCGACTTTTCTCAAATCCTGAGTTTACGACCGATTTTTCCTCAAATCCTGATGAAATCGGGATTAAATCCTGATTGACCTCAAGTCCTGATAGTCAGGAAAATTTGGAAACTCCTGATGCTAGACACCCTGCTTACGTATTATATGCACGTTAAATGAAGGAAAAACGCGATTGACCACTTGAGAGGATAGGTGCGCAGACTACAGACGACATACAATGAAGACCCAAAATTGCGCTCTTCCTTAAGAAGAAGAAATAATGTTCGGAGGTCAGATTTGCCTGATGATCATCGAAAATAAGTTCTCAGTCCACCCGTTTCGGAAGATGGCCTAAAATAAAAAAAAAAATTTCCCCCAAAAATTGTCGACGTGATCGCTCTTCCTCTCATCCCACCTTCTTCCTCCCCTACTTCATTTTCTCGTTGCCACGTGGAAAACGCTAACGCACGCCGACCTTTCCATCCGTCAAGACCTCTTTCCGCGGGCATCCATCCAATTTACAAAACCCGTTTCCGCGGCCTTCCCATTTTCGCACGCGACCCGGCCGGGCCTGGCCGGTCGCGTGGTCGCGCGGTTCCGACACCCCTGCAAGCTAAAACAAATCGTCGCTCATCTGACGCAAGGGCGTATCTCAATTTCCACGTGAACCCTGTCTTCCATATAACTCCGTGCTTTTCAGGGCTCACACAAAAATAGAGACGCACCCTTACGTCAGAGGAGCGACGAATTAACCCGAGCGCGTCACGCGGATCGTTCCTTGACCGCGTCCCACGAGCCATCGTTCACCGGTAACATCCCCTCGCCGTGACCCTCCGTCGAAGAATCCTCCTTGAACGTTGCGTGTTCGTAGCGCGACTCGACGAGCCATCGGGCATCCGCCGTGACAACGAAGGCGCGAGGAGCGGTCTCAAGGCAGCGAGTCCAGTCGAGGACCGTTTTCGTTTTCCGACCGCGGATTTGCTATTGCGTAATTTCAGGCTCCTGCTTTCAAAATCGCAAGCCCCATTCGACCGCCGTACAATGGACCGAGTCAATAAGAGAGGTCGGACAAAATTTTAAACTTTAAACACTTAAAACTCCATTAATGCAAAACTTCGAGGTTTTGAAAGTGTTTTCATTGGTTTCCTCGTAAAATTTTCATTGTAAAGCACTTTTTAAAACTTAAAATGTGATGAATCAAACATCAAAATTTGCAGTTTTAGTCACAAATTTCATGTCCGACTTCTCCTATTGACTCGATCTACCGTGCGCCGCACGATGGGACGAGAGGGCTTGACATGAAATCTTTGACCTGAACGGCACATTCGGATGTTTATTCTGTGACGGTAAACATTGTAAGGGGAACTTCAGGAGGAAAATTTGACGAAAAAACCACATTAAAAAGTCCACGTTTTGTTACTTAGAAAGATAAGAGCTACTTAAGTTTCCACGTCCCTTTCATCCTTTCCTTTTGATTCGCACAGAGACAAATAGAGACCCTTCACTGTGGCCTCTCGGCGACAGGTGAGAACGATTACTTTTGAGGATTCACCACTTCCTTTTGGACAATTGGACGTCATTTTGCAATTCAGAACTGTAAATTTTTACCCGTCTGTAAAATCACTTATATGGATAGAGAAACTAATGGTACATATGATGGTTTTAAACTGAAGCACAATTTATAGTTCCTAATTGCAAAATGTAGTCCAACTATAGCAGAACATCAGTCATCGCCCTTTTTTCGGCTTATTATTCCCATGCGTTCATAATTCTCTTGAAAATCACGGATTTCACAATTGCCCTGCTATATCACAACAGAAGCATATCAGAGTCCCAAATCAAGTCAAGAGAATCATGTATCCTTTTACAAAAAACTATTTTAGGCTAAACCACCAAGACGAAATGGATCCACCGAGGACTTCACATGTGAATGGGTAATCATCGCTGGACGTCACCGAGGTTGGTCAATGGCGTCCGAGAGCTCCCAGGGACGCAACTAGAATCAAAAGAGAAAAGAGACCGCCTGAAACACCGGACCATTTCATTCGGGTTACGCAACGTCGGCATGAAGACATCATCGCCGCTCCTGTGACACAAGGGCGTAACTTCATCGCAGAATGAGCCATATTGCCCATATAACTCAATGTTTTTCAGGGTTTACGTGAGGATTGAGTTATGTCCTTAAATGAGAGGAGTGACAATATGACGTCTTTCGTATTGTCACCGCGGTCATTGAGACGGTGGATTCAGCTCCGTTAATTCAATCGAAACTGACCGCATATCTCGTCGGTTATCACCATGTCATGGCCGGCATTTAACTCTCCTGAGACGCTATCACGACCATTCTATTGCACTGCGTTACACTCGAAAATATAGGTCAACAGCACTGCCGTGCTTAGTAAAAACGTCATAAGAACCTGCAGGCGTTGCCAAATTTCCTTCGGTAAACCACGAATTTTCGGGAAAATTTAAAAAAAAGTTTCCTCCAATTTGTCAGATAATTTTGTTCGCAATTTCACGTAAAGTTCCTGAACATTTCCAGGAAAAATATTCGTAGCTTTCGTCAAAAATAAACATTTTATCGGAGAAAATTTGGCAGCTCTCGAATGTTCATACGGCGTTTTTCCTTAGCACAGCGGAACAGTGGCGTGTTCATCAAGTAGGCAATGCTGTCAATGATGTTCGAGGGCTTGCTGAAGTTTTCTGAAGTTTTTTGAAGTTTTGTCGCTCCGTAAAATTGAGGAATCTATTGGTATTTTCACGCAATACCAGCACAGATTTCAAGGGTTCAGAGGGATGCAGAAAAAAAAAACCATCGAAATGCGCCTAATAAAAATGATCAGCAAATGAAAATTTCCTAAACCTTATCTTCACCTATTTAAACAAAAAATAAACTACATGAAGTACGGACGAAACTAGGTATCATGCATTTGAGTATGTTCTGCCGAGCTAATCGATTCGCTGACCTAAATATGATGAATTCGATTATCGCAATCAAATAAAAAAGTTGAGCAGATCGAATGATTGCTCGGTTGTGTTTACCGAACAAAACTCCCTTTCAAACAACTCGGACAGTTCGGTTTCACATTTTTTCCCCTTTCTTTTTTTCAGAGCATGGCGCCTAAAAAATCGTCTGATGTGAGCATAACTTCTTTATATCCTCGCTTCTTGCAGAAGTAACAAATTCAGTCATCAATAAT